GGCCTGACTTTCTATAAGGTGGAGCATACTGAAAACCACCAGATATACTTGTGTTTCGAGAGGAACTTTTCGTAAGAGGTGACGGTTTTTTGACAGTCTTACTCTCAGCAAGCTTATTGAATACAAAGTATTCTTCCCCATCATTAGTCTCAACCCGGCGAAATTTGTTCATTGTGGTGAGGTCACCACGTTTGGGTAAGAATTTCTTGGAACGGCTTGCAACAGTTCTATCTATTTTAACATCTTTTGGTGAGACGTTATTTACAGGGGTACTGGTATCTAAATCAGTCCCTAGTTCCATTGCCATGCGTGGTTGTTGTGTGGTCTGCTGAATGCTAATGTCAGCATTAGGTGACTGTTGCTGTGCACGATCGTTTTTGGGTAATTCTAAGCTAGAGGAGGTGACCAGGTTATTACTCCGCATCATTCTGCGCTGACACGGTGTTTTATCTTGAGCTATGGTTATAGACTTATAACTACTGTTCAGTCTTAGGTGATCCTGGCATTTAATAAACTTACTAGAATCAAGGGAATTACTGAACTTAAAAATAATGGGACAGTTAGCCTGGTTAGACTTTTTACGAAGTCTTTTGCATTCACATGGAACACTGGCCATGCCGCAACAAATCAGGATTTTGTGTTTAACAGTCTTCAGAGGAAGAGAATCTGGGACATTGTAAACTATAGCCTGGTGAGAAGAGGTTATACGCTTCATCACCTCCGCAGCCAAGCAGTCAATCATATTTTCAGCCTTATTTAGGGTGTCTGGAGACATTTTAGGATGCTTTCTTAACAGACAGGCTATTGGGTCTAAATCCGAAAGCTTGCTTTGAGTTACATCCAGTAAAGACTTAACCTGGCCAATATCAGAACTACTCTCCGTGATATTTGACAATGGCAGTGACATTCTATCAAACTGACCTAATTTTTTCTGAAGTTCATTTACTTGCCTTTGGATATCTTTCACAAGGAGGTCTAATTTACAGATCTCAGAGTTCTCTAACAGAACATCTTTCATCTGTATCACAGGAGTGAGAATTGCACTCAAGCCATTTTGTGAGCTAGTAGTTAATGCTGTATTACAGGGTGGTAATGCAGTTATAACCGAGGTTGAGGCACTATCTAAAACAACTGTGTTTCTACGAACACGTTTTTTAGAAATTTGGACCATAATTACAGGGATTATATGACTATAAGCAGTAAATAAATATCAGAGCAAACACGTGCAAAAATGTCACCAATTTCGAACGTACCGCCAGAAGGGAAGTATGTTTAAACCGTATCGATTCAGCTTCTGGGCAGTTGACAAGATACCGAAGAAACTAGGTGAATCTGTTTTTTCCTGCTCCATGTGTTGTTATTGCCTTGCTAGGATTCAGGTGTTACCTGGTAATAAAGAACAACTAAAAACAGAGGCAAACTAGTAGGAGAGAGTTTGGGACCATGGTGTAACAAGAGACCGAACAGACTTTTTCTACATACAGAGCTCAGGGTTATACGACGAATCACTAGCGTCCCCACCAAACACAAGTGCTGAAACATAACATCCCTTGTATTATTTGACCTAAAGTTGTAGATAATTTTAAAAGAGGACCTCGAAGAAGTTGAGTGGCTTGATTTCAACAGGTGAAAGGAAACTGAACTTGTAATTGTCTCTTGATAACCATTCCGGACAATATCCTGAGATGCGCTTGGAAGGTGTACGCTTTTTGTGCCCAGTATAACTAACTCCGCGGAATCAAGTGAATTTACTAATAGTGACTGCTAGATTTCATCACGAACCAAAATCAGTTAGACTGACCATTGGAAATCAGCTGTCTCATTCTAGTTTGGGATTCTTCAGCAGAGCGCAACCACGACCACACCGAACAACGGACTTAGGACCTTCAGATTACGACATTGATCTCGTTGGCCATTCAGCAATTTGGGTTATAATTCAATGACCTGTGAATTCCAACTCTGTCACTTTGTGATGGGGCACTACCCTCAACCAATGCCATCATCCACTTCACCTTGACACAGTGAAGTGATCTTGGTTTATGATAAAATCTAACAATCAAAATTAAATCAATCCGACTCCCTACAAATCCCATAACCACAAATTAGTAACGCTCACTGAAGCGGCTCAACGCAGTGGTTTGTCCTTCATACATATATTGAGCATTTGTTGACTTTAGCTGATTACTGAGGGATTTATTTTTGTCCTAAGGAACTACCTCTGATTTGATTGTATCAGTTATGTTCAAATTTGATCAATTTCCGATAATTTCAAGTTCGAACAGATTATTTATTATCCTCCTCTGATTTGACTGACTGGTGGTAATAATATTTTCCATACCTCTGGTATTTGCATTGAGTCATTTCTGTTGCATGTGTTCGGTGTAGACTCGATGAAGCAGGATTCAGTAATCAGTCTCTCTCTCCACCTACCTAGATTACTTTTTAGAATTTTAACCCTCTCCCACCCTATTGTGTGGTTGTGTGTTAATACATGTAGCGGAATTGCTGAGCTTTTTTCTAAATTACTTATCTTCTCGCGGTCAACCATTCTTACCTTAGCTAAATTCTTATGTTCTGACAGGCACTACTCTTGATCTACTAGTTTGACCTATGTAGTTGACCTCACTCACAGTCAATGCAACGTATTTTGTAAATTATATTATTTTGTTTAATTGAGTCCACAGGCTCCTTTAGCCTACAGAGCTTGTTTCTGAGTGAGTTTGTAGATTTGAATGCCACTCTAATTCCTGCTTTATTGAGAATCCTACGTAGGGCCTCAGATGTCCCCTTCTTATATTGTATAACTGTAGCTGTCTTATATTCTCTCCTATTTAAGCCATCATTATTAGTTTCCCCAATTATTTTTATTTTGCTTTTGACCTTTTATGATATTCCTAATGGATTTTACAGGATAGTTATTTAACACCGACCAGCCATTCTTCTACCTGTTTTATTTCGTCATTTAGGTCTTTCCTTGTGCTACTTAGTGCTACTGCTCGGTGTGTTAGACACTTAACTAAGCCTGCCTAAACAGTTAACGAATGAGATGAAATGCGCTTCCTGGATTCCACTTCTAGTCACTATCCACCAATTTTTTTAACCTTATTTTACCACAAATTGTTTTCATCGTGCATATCACTTTTTCATATGCATATTTCAGAACGTGCACTGCAATTCTCATGTCAAAATTTCATTTAACAAATGAATATAAAAACCGCTAAGGGTAGGAATTAAATTAATGTATGTGTAAACCGCGGGAAGTGTTGTTGTATATACTTCCATATTAGTTTGTTTTTTTCGGATATATCATATGGTGAAACAGTATTATTTACTGGACAACGTATGGAACACAATTTATTGCTCACAGTCATATAAATTTAAACTGTACAACTTCAGTTTTGTAGTGCCGTTTATTCGTTCTTATTCGTCGTAGGAGTAGTAGAATTTCCCAGACTTCCGAGACAGGTGTAGAATTATACCTAATGCATATATTTCCAGCTGACTCGACAAGTAAAGCTTCCGTTATCAATCTCTCCGTCTACCCTGTTATCTTAGATTTTAAGAATGTCATGTTACCCCATAATATTTTGTGGTTGTGTATAACTGAGTGTAGTACCTGCATCTGAGTCATTTTCTACATATCTTATCTTATTAGGGTCAACTTATCTACATTTTATTGGGTCCCTGTGCTCTACTAGTCTGATCTATCCTGATTCCCTGCTCTTACTTATGTATATGACCTGACAATCATTATAGGTTATAATAGATAGACTAAATTATATTGTTTTATGGGCCCCACAAGACCCTTAAAGTGACATAATTTGTTTGTGGGCCTGAAAGCCACTTCTATTTCTGCATTGTTAAGTTTTCTGAATAGGGTTTAAGAGGTTCCCTCTTTTCATGGAAGCATTGATGGTGTTTGAAATTCCTTATGGTTGGTGTTGTCATCTTTCTGTGCATTTCTGATATGTGTGTCATCCATATTATAATAATTATTATTAATTTCATTGGCTGGAAGATTTCATCATCAGCTAACATCACTTAGAGAACCACTGGAAAACATGGAAGTACTGGACAGCTGTTTCGTCGGACTAGCTCAAGACTCTTCACTGGTACGCACTCACCGCCACTTTTCGAACCCAGGACCTTCTGCTTATAAGGCTAGTGAGCTCGTGGACCATTAGGCCACTGGGATCCGATCCAACAGCCAGCCCATGAATTTTAACTTCTACCAATTCATGACATAGCGCGACTACTCAGTAATGTCCTCTTCGATGAGTTATTGCTTCACCTTCATCCGGACGTATCCTACTGACTTCCCACTATAACCCCAGGTAACTGCCTGAATAGGACCAATCTCTAGTGACATCAGATTAATTACCAAGTGGCTTAATGGTCCACGAGCTCGTCTTGTAACAAGAAGGTCTGGCGTTCGAACTCTGGCTGTGGGTGCGTACTGATGAAGAGTCCCAAACTGGGATGAAACAGCTGTCCAGTAATCCCTGGCAGGTTTTCTAATGGTTCTGTAACTGATGTCAGCTCATGATGAAATCCTCCAACCAATCAAACAAACAAAATTCCCTACAAAACCAATACTTGAAAATTATTAATTTCACTTTTACATTTTCCTACATCCTTCTTGACCAATTTTTCAGAGCGAATATCAAGTTTTAAAAATTCTCTCTTACATGTCCTAATTCTCGCCTTAGATTTTCCGTGGTATTACCTAATTATTTTGTCCGATTACTTAAGAATTTCCTCAATTCCTAATTCTCATGACCTAGGGTGAAGTGAACCAAAATTCAAATAATGGTTTGAATGTGTAGGTTTTCTGTAAACACTAGTGTTTAATTTCCCATCTTCTTTCCTTTTTATGCTACAATCTTATATTTGAGGCTCCCTTTCTTGACTTCCTAATTCGTAACTGAATTAAATCGCTTCTGTCGTTTGAGTTCATGTGTTCAAAAACAACAAATTCTGAATAAAAACAAAGTCAATTCAAATGTGAAAAAGTATGTATCTCCGAAGTCACAATATATTATATTCATAATAGTAATACTCATAATCAAATCATCGGTTCAATTACTTGAGCTGCCAATAATGGCATGGCTAATTGTTGATCATATATAAAACAGACAAATGGTTGATTCACATGAAAATCGATCTCTGATCTAATAAATGAAACTGGTACTAATATAGGCGAAGTAACAGCCGCTGCTTCAACACCACTCTCATCCACTTTTAATGTATTCGACTGAAGAAATGCATTTACATGTAGCGTTTTGTTTGGTGAAATTCCTGAAAAAGAAATAATAGCAGTTTAGTAAATGGATGCATATTTAAGAATTATCAAATTAGAGATTACTACGGGGAAATTCTTAATCAAAACGGATGTCATAAGCATGATGATGAAACATTATTTGAAATAACATTCAATTTTCAGTCGGTAATTGCGAGCAAAACAACACAGAACCATTTTCAAGGAGTAAATCTGAAATGCTAATTATGCCGCATGATTCATTGATGTCACAGTGGATTGTTACTTGTTCATTCTATACAAAATAATGATCAAGTAATATAACCTGTGTGCGTCAGTGGCACAATGGTAGAATGCTTACCGACCACACCACATATGGTCCGGTGTTCGATTCCCGGCCGACGCTCATCTGGTAGTAGGGCCGGAAAAGAGGGAAGGTTGGGCATGAGGCTATCAACCCCACTCCGTAAAATAAACACAACTACTACCGAGACTTCAAGCCTCTTGCTTGAATCCCTATGTTCCATTGGGAACTTAAAGGAATAAAAAAATCCAACCTGTGACCAAAACGAAACAAGATTATCAGAATGCTGGTTCAGTCCACCGTAGACAACTCACTAGTCAAAACTACTGTCACCGTAGTAACAAGCATGTCTTTATTAAGAATATGTGTAACATTAGAGAAGATGGTCTACATGAATGAACCCTTCAAAGGTGACCTTCTGGCTGACACCTTGAAGAAGAGGATATCTACTGCTCTCAAAAGGACATTCTTCGCTGCTACACTACGACTGACATTTTCCTCCCGGCCATTGTTCTTCAACTACTCTAAAGATAAACTATCGCATTTGACCACTTCCTTGTGTATCTACCAATTCACCTGCTCTTGCGGAGCGAGGTATATAGGTCGTTAGATGCGAGTTTTATCTAAAAGAGTTCAAGAACACTATCCCGCCTGGCTACGGAAAGGTAACAACGGAGCAATAAGGAGCGCCATTATTGGTCATTCGATTTGCAAGGAGAAGTCGTTCAAAGTCATCTATAAAGTCAAAAGAAGCCTTCCAAAATCGACAAGCTTCCGTATACTTTGCATTGCCGAAGCCTTAGCGATTTGGATAGAAAAGCCTGAATTATGCACACAGAAGAAACTTCTCCACCCCCTCCTACTACCATGGGTTTAATTTCAAGTTTATCTGTCATCAACATTTTGTTATCAAATTTTTTTGCAATCTTCGTATAATAATTTTTAGTAACTAACCCATTCAATCTTTTCACCCATTATCTAGTTTATTTTCATAATTGTCTCCATACTCCTTCACTAACATCTAATCTTTCTAAACATGTCTATATTACGTAACCCTACTCACATCTTACCAATCTTCACCCCACTTAGTTACAACTTTGATTATTAATCACACATTTTTATTTCTTTATTATTTTGATGATGTAATCAACAACCCACACTAACTGTTATTTTGATTTTCATTTTGACAAACCTAATGTACACACACACACACAAAATAATTGTATATATATTTGCGACTGTACAGCTAAGTGAATGAATTCGCCGAAAAGAGACTCTTCGCTGAACTAATTTGCTCTTATTTCAATGTCTTAATGGGTGTATTTCACGAATTAGAAGTGATTCTCTCAAAAGTCAGAGATACCTTCTGCAATCCTCTTCGATGTGCTCATTTTGATCAATTGTCTTTTTCTAGATAGCGAAAACGTTCTTAATTATTCATAAATCAGCTAATTCATGAATGTGCTATCGAAATCTAACGAATACTTCTCACTTGCAGAGTTTCATTTCCCGCATATGATTTTACCAGCCATAACCGTAATGCTAAGTCATAAACTTACGTTAATCTAACTACAAAATCTAATACAATTTTATCCTCATAAAGAATTCCTAATCATAATGAGAAGATTTACGACAAATTTGTTGCCTAGATGAAGATTAAGATTCCTGGAAGAGATTGAGTTGTAGAACATGGAGTTCTTTCCACAATTAGGTTGTATTAATATTTTTCCCTTGGGCTCCAAGTGGAAGGTAGGTCCTCAAGAAAAAATCTTCATCTCACCCCCTTCAACAAGGTCCTTTTCAGCTGCTTCCAAGATTACCCATAGGCTTTCATTTCTTCCTCACACGATCTCATCTGTATCATTGTCGAACTTCCAGTCCATCGTTCTCTTCGTATTCCAGTTACATTCGTGAGTGTGGAGCTCGATTTCTCCTCAACATGTCTTTGATTCATCCTTATTCTTTCAGCATATTCTTCAAGCAATAGCTTCTTGGCTTTTCCGTTGTCAGAGTTCCTTCTTGCTAATCCTTTATGGCCATGTGACGCTCAGTATCGAGCTAGCGAAGGCAAGTGCTGATAGAAGCCTGCATTAGACTGTTGGAAATGGGTTTTTTAATAATAATAATAATGGTAATAATAATAATCTACTTTATTCAAAAGCAGTACTTATAGTACAGTATGGAATTCTCTCCATTTGTCACAATATTGCATCTGATTTACTCAAAATATAAATAAAATTAAAAATTACAACAAAATTAACCAGAGGAACTCGTCCACGTTTACGATATAAAGTCAAAAATATTTGAAGTACGAATTGAGAGTTTTAAATATAATAATATTAACAACAGTGAGTTTGTTGCAAACAGTTTTGGCAATGTAGTTTGAAAATTTTAGCATGTTATAGATTATTGGATCTAATGTTCTGTTGATATAGTATAGTGAGGGGAAATACAAAATTAACAGTTATAACACAGCTTAAATGATGTTCACACTTATGAAAAAATAAACAAATAAAAACAAAAAATTGAGAGGACTAGAAATATAACAAGAACAATAACCATAAAGGTTGATGTTGTAAGGGTGGGGGAAATGGTTTACTTACTAGTGCAAAAAGGGTTCGTTAGTTCATGCCTAGCACTATTTTCATCACATGAATTACGTGCCAAATATGGTATAGCGGAATTTTTATACTTATACATATGTGGATAAAGTCTTCTGAAAAGACTTCTTGTTTTACCTTAGGAGACACAAAGTGAAAGCTGAGTGTAAAGTGGATGCTCACAGTCTGACGAAATTCTTTTAGCAAGTTTGTTGTATGAAATCAAGTGCTTTTCAATGACGATGTCAACGATATGACTCAATCGGATATCACTCACCCAGGAAAGAATAAAGGTGAACAGTAAAGAAGAATAGGTAAGATGCACGAGTTGACAAACTGTAAGAGGAGTGGTTAGGTTATACCCAAGTGCCTTAACTTCTTAATGTAAAAAGTCAGATGAAATATTCTTTCAGAAATCGCTAAGACATGGGAAGACCAGGATTGGTCAGACTTGATTTCTATATCACTATCATCAATTTTGCAACGGTCATAGGAAAGAACAGCTTCACTTAACTTTCTTTTACATCGGAAACTGAAGTTAAATGTTTGACATTTGGAAGGACCATTGGACGAAGACCATTTGCTAACTCTTGATAGAAAGTTTTCATCTTAGTGACTCAAAGTACACTTCTCTAGACCATATAGAAGGACAGACTTTACATTAAGGTTGAAGTTCTGAATCTTGTAGTTAATGTTGAGTGCAGCAGATCTCTAAACTGATTTCAGAATAATGAAAGCCTGTCTTGCTTTTCCGACGTTGCCTTTGACATCTTCATCCATGCCGCCTGCCTGTATTTGAAACAACATTGTTTACAGAAGTGAAACACACGGATAGATCGTAATTGAATCTAACTTGTGTTTTAATCCATTTGACGCTTTATGAAACTAGTAGATTACTAGCTTATGTTCACTTTTCAAGTAATCTCAGCTTACATAATCATTGAAAGACAATTTTATTATGGAGTCTAAAGAAATTGGTGAGTCATCGCAAACGAATTCATCCTGAAATCTTAATGCGAACTGATAGATATTATTACACTTTAGCTTTTTGCTCTAAGAGCCACTTGTGTTTGTCTAGGACTGATAAAAGTACATACAATGAAGATTATTACTTATTCTCATATACCTATTCTTATAGAGACCTTACAGTGATTCTAGCATTAAAAGTACTTTCTAAAAAGGAATTATCAGCTTGTACATTCCAGTTTCTGTATAAACGTTCCATTGTTCAAGGTATATGCGAAGTAAATGATGATAGCATAAAATAATTTTTCAATGAGACCTGTGTTTGTGAAGTCTGCTGACTGATTTGGAACCGATTTCTGTGAACAGGTGTGGTGTACCCATCAAGTATCTTGTGGTGTTCAGTAAAATGAACACAAGAGATAAGTATTTCAAATTCCTTTTTTTCATCCAAGACAGACAACGCTAAGTAGTGCAACAGTAATATGCTCATTTCGTTCTCTTCAGATGTCATTGTAAGTATGTAGGTAATTAATTATTTCAATATAGAAAATATCCCCATTTAGACATTTGGAAAACACAAAAGACTGAGCGAAGAAACATTTACTTTTCAATTAGATCCTCTTCTCTGGCTCTACTCTAATATATATAGCATTTTTACAATACACAACAATTTACCAAACAAGTGGTGACACTGTTTAAATATTGTTAACAAACATATCACCACTTGTTTGGTAAATTGTTGTGTATTGTAAAAATGCTATATATATTAGAGTAGAGCCAGAGAAGAGGATCTAATTGAAAAGTAAATATTTCTTCGCTCAATCTTTTGTGTTTTCCAAATTAATTATTTGGTGAACTTCACATTCACAGCCATGAAATGACACAACTTTAAGGAACTTCTGGAAATCTGACAGCTCTACACAGTACATTTTTCTATTTTACATTTTACTGAGAGGTTTTTTGTAATTCTAGTTACAAGAGCACGTTAGCGTCTGTTTATTGGGTAGAAATCAATTCGCTTCAGCCAATCAGTGATATATCACTGTTCTCTTGCAATAACATCAATGAGTGTATGTCATCATAATCAACTTGCATTTCAGCTATATCATAAGACTGATTGACTCATCGAGTCTCAGCCTAGAACTTTGTACAAAACTGCAGGAGTTCAACT